ATAAATGATGATGGTGGGACTAGTGTGATCCATATGACAAGCTTTCTTCAAACGGCACTAATGAAAAAATATGTTTTTCTGGCAAATGTTTGGCATATCAACATGCCCTACCGGTGTTCTACATTACGAAGCGTCGGGTTGCAGTGCAAAATGTGAACTTAAGGCAACATTTCGAGGAGAACAAGAGTAACAATAATGAGTATGTCATAACGAGGCTGTGATTGCATCAAAGGTCAAATCAGTCTACTCATGCTAAATGTATGGCCAACGGCTCTGGCGTCCCCTAAATTATCAAAGTTTTTTAGGCTGTAATTTTATTCTTTCTTAACTGGTGAAAAATCGAGTAATAGATACTTTTCATGGAAGGGCACGGAAGGCACTGACAACAAGAGCTTGGTGACGTATAGCTTTAAAACTTTAGCTGATGCAGAGACTTTAGGCCCTAATCTTCTTATCAGACAGCCAACGATTTAGTACATGACACAAACCAGAAAGTGGGAACCCTTGGAACATAAAGAGATGCATCAGAGCCGATAAGACGTAATCTTGTCATGACGGGAGCACGATTAGAATTTTAATGAAACTAGGTAGCGAGCAAATTGTTCGAAGGATTAAATGCATCCTAAATATAGTTTGACTATGTAAACCTCAAGCGTATGCTAGGGACACGATTACCAGAATAAATGGTTGGCCCAGACTCAGGCATCTTAAAATTCTGGGAAACAGACATAAGGCTTGTTGTCGGATCTATGATTGAGCCTTCTGTCCGTAGACGAAAGGCATGATCCAGTGACATTTAGAATTTCTTAGGTTGCAGATCTGATCTAGCTTAATCGAAGGTATGAAGACCAGGATGGTGCTAACCATCGGTAGGGTCGCAGACATTTTTCGATTTATAGAAGTGGGATGAACTCGGACTCGCAACTTGATCTTGCTTTCAGGGCGACTCGGTTGGACGCATCTTGTTCGAAGCCCTCTGCTATAACACTTAGCATAATTGCCTGCATCAGACTGTGGACTTGGTACATTCTCAGACGTTTTGCCGGCATCGTCAAAGAGACAATTGAAGTCAATCCCTCGACAAACGTTCTGCCGAAAACGGTTACACTATCACTCCT